GAATTAATCAATTATTCGTTTGATTAATCGATTAATCGGATTAAAAATTACCCTTTCTACAGATTTTCTTTTTGTCACTTAAACCTTCTTTATACAATATTAGAAATGCATTAATGATGCAAAACAAAAAACCTTGAATTCATTTGTTACAGAAGTACATAAACATTTTTATTGCCTTTAATGCAGTACCACAGCATTCCTTTAGTGAATTTGAACTGGATGAAGCTCTGCCACTCGAAGAGTTTTGGCTAAAACATATTTACAAAGATGTTTGTATCATAAATGCAAAATTTATATATTGTTGGTGCAGTTTTGACTTAATTACTGATCTGAATATTTTTTTCCCCCAAGAAGCCTTTGTTTGAGTCTCTATACTGCTGTTAACGATTAATCGATTACTGAACTAACTGACTATTATTTCAGTAATCGATTAATCGTTTCAGCCCCAAATATTTATTTGCACAGCTCCATTGTACAGTACTGTTATAATATTTATGATTCATGTTTTTCTTCTGGGGAAATAATGAATATTTGTAGCCTTGAGGTTTCCTCTGTTAATTAATTATGTGAACAACAGTGGAAGGGGAAAGTAAAAGTCATTATTCTGGTGTTTTGGTTCCTCATCCTGAACAAGCGCTCCGATGGGAAGCTGAAGAAGACGCTTCCTTTTGTTTTTATGGGAATTTGGGCCAAAAATGCGTTCAGAGCTTTAAATCCTGATCCTATTAGTCTGGTCTATATTGAGAACAGCCTCCATCTGCAGAAAGAGACGCTGCAGCTTCTTTTGTTGAACGTGACTGATTCACTTTCACCTTTTGTCAGTGTGTGTGTGTGTGTGTATGTGTGTGTGTGTGTGTGTGTGTGTGTGTGTGTGTGTGTGTGTGTGTGTGTGTGTGTGTGTGTGTGTGTGTGTATGTGTGAGCTCTGCCTTTCATATCGATCACGGTTCTGCCAACTGTTTGTTTTGTCTTTTCATGTGATGAAGCCCGGGCCCTGGGTTGAGGCCCCGGCGGAGCCGCGCTTCTCGCCAAAGGGCTTTTTGTGAGACGGTGTCACGCTCCCTCGTTCCGGCGAGGCTTCGCCGTTCTTATTATTCATGGCTCTCTCCGCGTTTGTTGGGAAGGCCGGGATCAAACAGGCAGATTTGCCACGCCTGACACCCCTGCTGCTGGAAGTGTGTGTTCTGGCGGTGCGCGTGTTTGCGTGTGTGTGTGTGTGTGAACTCAGCTCGGACTCAGTAATGACAGGATTTGTTAAACAGTAAATTAATGAATAATGAAATATCCAGCACGCGCCTGCCTTGCCTGGAGCTTTGTGCCCGGAGCAGGAATTACTCCCGACCGGCACTCGCCTGCCTGCACGCTGGATCTCCTCTGTGTGTGTGTGTGTGTGTGTGGGTTGGATAAGCATTTTTACAGCCCATTGCGTGACAAAATGCCGAGGGGCTTTGCTGATGGGGCCTGCTCTCTCACTTCCCGGCGAAAAGGCGGACAGAAACACAGACGGATGCAGACGTAGCTGCGTGGAGAACAGACTGCCGCCGCTGCTCTCCATCCTCGTCGCCCCTCATGAGCTCAGTTCATAAGTGGATTACCTTTCCCTGCTCCTCTCATTAAAGTAACACCCTGTGACATTTTCATAAAAATAAATTTGGCCTCTCATTTTCACCAATTCATCAAACACAGATGATTTATGTGGGATCAAACTGCTGTAAGCCAAGTTGTGCTTTTAGAAAACTGAGAGGCCTTCGCTGGCCTGATGAGGAGCAGCAGCACCAACCTCTGCATGGGACAGTCAAAAAACTGTAAAACTTAGAAAATACAACTTTAAAATACAGATTAACCCATAAAATACACCTCTGTCTCTCTGTCCAGTTTTTATTTTTATTTATGGTGAACTTTGGTTCTCTGTTGTTAGCTAAAAGTTTTTAGGTGTATTTTTTAACTGAAGGACATTTGAATGACTGTTTGGTGTGGATTTATTTTAATTATTTTAGTTTTTTGATTCTCACGTTGAGTGTTTTGAAAAAAAATTCACTATAAAATTAAATTATTAAAAAAAACGTTGGTTGTTGACTGCTTGAGGATTGCTTGTAATGAAATTCATCTTAATCTAATCTCAGAATCTAAAACTAATTTCAACTTTGTATGTTTTTTAATTAAACTGTTGTGTTGACAATTTGAAGAAATTAAATAAAATTCTAAAAAATGTGAATATTATGTAACTTTTCTGTCCATTTTGAACTAAATCATACAATAATTTATGAATGCAGAGAAACATTAAAGTTAATGTAACTTTAAGCATTCTTTCTGTAATAATACAACATAATTTGGGATCACTGAGAAATATTATTTTAATGTTAAAGTCGTGTTAAGATTCAGTTACAGTCCAGATTGTTTTCATATCAGTTTGTTTTATCTGTTAGTTTTGCTTGGATGAAATCGGTTTTAGTTTAGTTTTCCACACTAAAGCAGGAATTAAAAAAATAAGCTCTGTTATGTAATATAAAACTACTTTCTTGCATATGATTACTATGCATTTACTTCCATTCCCTTTTATTTGCATTTGTTTGAGTTTAAAGCAATCCGTAAAGTAAAAAGTAAACTCCTATTTGTCATTTTTCAGACTTATATAGTTAAAGGAAGAAATAGTTTCTTCAAATCCTTCAGTATTCACTCCTTTTATGCTGGTTTTAGGAATCTTGCAGCTCATAGACACATGCTTTGATTGATATTTTTATTTCATCAATAACAAAATTGACCCCAGCCATAAAGATGAGGTCTGGCTGTAAAAAGTGCAGCGTTGGTTAAAATGAAATGTCGAATCCCTTCCTCAGATGTTTTCTCTGCTCATTTTCTCCCAGCCAACCTGTCGGACTCGTGGCCCCTGATACTCTGCAGCTTCCTGCCTTTTGTTGAGCGGGAATCGCTCGCGGACACGTGGCTGCTGAACTCTGCACCTGCGTCACGCCGCGTTCCACTCCACGGGTCACGCTGCGCCCGCAGGACACTTTCATCCTGCGGTCAGCCTATTTTCCTTCTCCCCGTGTCTCTGCCTTTCTCATTAGCTTTCTTTCCGCATGTTCTCTCTCTCCGCGCCGCTCCCCCCTCCTCCCCATGTGAGCCCAGCGTTGGGTCGTCATTAGCGCACCGGCTGCGGATGTCGAGGCCCGCAAGGCACCATGCTGTTCCCGCAAAATAAGGCCCTCGCTTCAGAGGAAAGCCTCTCCCTGGAAAAAAAAAAAAATCCCACTGACGGGAAATTATGCCAATTATCTCCCTAGAAGAATAAGAAGAAAAAAACCTCCTCATAAGCAGCCATTCTTTGTCACATCTCATGCAGTTTTTTAAAAGTTTTCTCTCTAATTAGATTCTAATCATTTCTTACTATTGGTGATACAACATTTAAAATAAAATCAATATTGTATTCATCAGAGAAATCGGTTCCAAGTTGTCAGTTTTTAAGTTTTTGTTTTCCAGATTGTGACCTGTTAAAATATTTCATTTAATGGTGAATTTTAACTTAATTTGCCACATTTCCCTGCTGTTTGCAGCCGTTTCTGACTGAACAGATGTAAACGCTTCACTTGCATGAGGAGTTTTTTAGGGACATGAAATGAACTCAAGTCGACCTCAAACACTTAAACTGAATCCAATTTCATGCTTTTCTGCTCATTCTTCCAAATTTACAGAGTGGGATGTGAAGCCTGGAAATGAAATGGAAACATTGTTTAACACATTTTAATATAAAATCTATAAAATAACTAGTGGATTGTGTGGTTCGATGAACTCCTGCGGTTTTTTATTTATTTAATATTATCTTCAAAACAAAACAACAACAAAAACATTCTGCTAAGCCAGCTTAAAATAAACTATGAATATGGAGGTATAAAACTACAGAAACCAGTTTAAAATCTAATTTGAGGTGAGTGCAGGCATGACCGCAGCATAATGCAGCCACTACCGTGTTTTATTGTTGGGGATATTATGAGAAAAACTAACACAAAACAGAGAATAACTGAAGAGGGGAAATTATGTTACAAGCTTTTAAAAAAATCTTTACAAAACAAATAGAACTGTGGTGTGCGTTTGTATTCGGCCCCTTTATTTTGACACCCCTAAATAAAATCCAAATTGTTCACGGTATAAATTCTGTGAAGGTTTTATTTCGGACATAACATCATAAAATCAAAATTTTATGGGTTTTCAAGGTAAACGGACAGAATACAAACGCACAGCAAACTTTTCAAAATCTTAGTTTTTTGCTTTGAGAAATCTGAAAAGTGTGGCATGCTTTTATTATCAACCCATTTACTAGGATACTCCAAAAACTAAGTAACTCAACTGAACACAACAATAATTACATTGTTTGCTTTGATGCATAACGATGTCGTTTTCTCTGGGATTTCTTTAGTTCACTTTTGTGTTATAATGGGGTTTTTTTGTTGTTGTTTTTTTTGCCAAAATTGATTTTTGCAAAAAAAAAAAAAAAATCACTGATGGTGTTTTAGGCAAAGACTCAGGTCATTATTTTAGGAAGCCAACAGTGTTTAGTTTAAAGCATATTGACTTAAAAAATTATATAGAAAGTTTTGACATGAGTAAAGTCTAATTATCAAAACACTTCAATCAGGTTTGACAACTAGAATAGCTCAAGTCTGATTCTTTGGTGGAAATATGCTGCATAAAGTAAAGTTTTCACAAATCTTAACTTGATTTAGAATAAGTTAAAGTAAAATGTTTCTTTTCAGCAGCTAAAGAGTTTTATTCTCGGTTACTTGAGTGAAATATATGTCCACTTGATACAAACGACCATATTACGTCACGTTTGTTTACAAATTGGGAAACGGTGGGAGCTAATAGTCCATTTGTTCTATTTCTTGGTGGGATATTTTGAGCAAAATATGAAAATATTTTTGTTATTTTGGTCATTTGAGTTTCCAAACGATGACGGAAACGGGATTCAGCCTCAAGTCAGAGGAAAAGCTCAGGCCGCAGACCTCACATTATAAAACACATGGTTTATTATCAATATGATAGAAATGAAATCACTGGACAATTAGAAGCATGTCTACCCATCATCATCATCATCATCATCATCATCACCATGACAACAGCTCTATAAGAACAGAAAAACACTGAACGAGTCCGGTCCTCTCCCTCCCCACTGGCTCACAAAGGTCAAATCACACTTAAATAGGTCGACTCCAAAGCAGCTGGCGCACCTATTTGATCAACTTAAATAATTATAAATTAATATTTACACACATAAATTAACGCCGTCCCTCGTTGGAGTCTCGTTAAATACCCAGCCTGTTTCACAGATAGATGCTGCAGCACAAAAAAAAAAAGGATCTCCAAACCCACAACGCTTTTTTTTTTCTTCTGTTTCGGTGTGAAGACAAACACAAGCGCACACACTTTCTCACAGTCTCTCTCTCACACACACTCAGGCACACGGACACGATGTCGTTTGCTTGCAGCATCTCAGTCTCACAGGATGCAGGCGGGGGGAGCAGAATGGATGGAACACAGGAACCACCAGGTCCTCGGGGGGGAATGAGAAGAACGTAACACAGATGAAAAATCCCTCAGTGCGTTCAGACACTGGCCCACGGGTGTCTTCCTCCACGCCAAGCCTCCCCTGTCCTCCACCTCAGCCGTGTGCAGGGTGGCGGCGGCGCTGTAGAAGGTACGAGAAACGGTGTAACGCCTCAGTCAGCGTGTCGGCCTCCCTCCCGCCTCTCCTCCATCACTCCCCCTTTCTGCGCCGGCTTCATTTCCGCTGCTTTTCCTCTTTGTCGCCGGCCTTGCCGCCCGCGTCCCCGTGCCGGCTGTTGGGCGGGTTGTTGAGGAACATCTTGTCGAGTCCTTTGAGAGCCTCGGTGAGGTAGTTCTGCAGGGCGGTGAGCGCGGCGCAGATGGCGGGCGAGCCGAAGCCGTGTGTGATGAAGGAGAAGTGGGATAGGCAGCTCTGGATGCCGGGTTCCAGGATGGGGGTCGGCCTGGAGTTCCCCAGCGGAGTCCTGTCCTGGGCCAGCAGGTCCGTGAACTCCTTACACAGCTGTCTGCCGGGGGAAGACACAGGGAAATCTGGTCAGTTTCTCCAAAATATGGCTCTACTTGCTGTCATTAGTGCCTGTTGTACTTCCTTGAACAGGTTAGATCAGATCTACGGTCTATTCAAAACATGTTCATTACATTTTGTGCACAAAATCATTCTTACATAATGAGATTTGTCACTTTAAATTCAAATAAGCTGCTGGCCGCGCTCTTTAACTTAAGGTTTACGCTTCCACGTGAAAACAGCTGCAAACAGACGCACAATGACACAACCATACATCTTTGAAAAGCAGAAGTGGAGCCTCCTGCACAACCAACGAGAACGCAGCAAGAGGTTTCTGGATGGTAAGTCAACAACAAAACTCTTGTCTTTTTCCAGCAGCCATTGTACAGTGAGTACAGTGGTTAAGCCAGCTGACTAAAAGTGCTGGAGCTAAAGCTTAGGTTGCTGGGTAACGGGCAGAACTTTGCTCAGGTTGCTAGGTAACGGGGCAGTACCTGCTGGTTTGTGACGTTGCATTCTGGAAGTTTTGGAAACTGCTCATTTTCCAGACACCAAAAAACATGAAGTTATTGCCAAAAAATAACTCGGTGTTTTTTTTTTTTGGCTTAGGTTGTTTTTAGAAGCAGTTGAGACCCAATGGAAGTTCAAGAACACACAAAATGTGAATTTTGCATAATAAGTCCCCTTTAAATAGGAACTATGTCAGTTTTATGTGTCTCATTTTGCTGTTTTATAGGTGAAAACAGAGAATTTTTATTCTCAATTAGTTTATTTTCTTAAAGGTTACAAACAACAAATAAACCCTTTCTAAACTTTTCCCACTTTGTCACATTCAGCCACAAACTTCAAATGGTTTCACTGGGATTTTAAGTGATGGACCAGTACAAATTGTGGAGTGGAAGGAAAAGTCATGTTTTTTTGTTTTGTTTTGTTTTTTCAAATAAAGATTGACGTGTTAATAAATATCTTTTGGTAAAGAAACATATTCCTCTAGAGTTTCCCTACGTTTTGCACCATTCATTTCATTTTATTTATTATGAAATATGAAGCATAATTGCTAAAAGGAAGGAAATGTTTTACACTTCTCATGTCTGTTCTGCCTCTTTACTCTGATCCTTGTAAATAAAGTCAAATGTACATTTAAATCTGATAAATTAAATGTTCTCCTGTTTATTAATCACAGTATAAATAAATGTAACTCTTCTAGAAATATGGATTTTATTTTAAGGTACCAGAGTAAAGGGGATATGATAGAAATCCCTCCAGTTTTCAGAGATTTATTGGTTTAACTATGCACCGTTTTCCTTTAGTTTATCACATGAAATTTCAGTGAAATATGTGCCAGTTTTCAGTTGTAAAGTGAGAAAATGTAGTTTAAATAGTTTTGTGAGATGAGTTAAAGGTTTATTCACCGTTTCCATGAGAATCACGACTGACACAAAACGCAGGCGCCCTTAATTACCACTCAGGCAGAATGGGCAGCGTCCTCCAGAGCCTGAGATTTCCTCCAGGCCCCCAAATGTTGGAGCCCCATAATTTGATCTGAATGTGATTACTGTCATTTTTTGTGGGAGATTTGAATAATGCTGCACTTAAACCATTTCACAGCTGACTGGGTTCAGTTTGGAAACGCAGCGATCGCTGGTGTTCGGATCCGAGTTAAGCAACCAAAACGATGAAACCAAACGGCACCGAGACGCTTAGTGGATAAAATGTTTGGAGGAATTAGTGAAGATATGCAGCGTCACAGAAGTCACATGTTGTAGAATCAGAATATTTATGTTTAAAAATGAACTTCATGAAGATTCTTAGGTTTGCCTGAAGTTTGGAACTGTACAAACTCCATGAATGTTTAAGTTTTCTTCAAATGCGAATATAGATCATATTTCTAGTTCAGTTTAGTTTCACAGATCAGAAAACAAGATGAATTTTATTGTCATCAGCTTCACAAACATTCATAACTGTCCCCTAAATCACGATTCTTTAGGGATATCTCAGGACATCCAGTCATCGTCATTATTTACAGAAACAATATTTTAAAAATCAAACCTTTATGCGCTTTTCACAATTAGGTTAAACAAAGTTATTAAGAGTCAGACTTTGTTTGCCAAACTTAATCATCTCTGACAACTTTTAATTTCAGCATCAGCAAAATTTTCTGATTGCCTTCAAAGTTTCACTTTTCAGCTATTTGACACATTTGGACAGAAATCTGTTTCTCTTTTCAAGAAAAGGAAGCTAACGCTAACTGAGCTTCGTTCACGAATTTAAAACAATTTGTTGCATTAAAGTGTTTCTCAACAACATAGGGGGAAACTGACGAATAAAAATTATTTCCTTTATGCTATTCGGCCAGATTTAATTGAAAGTTGCTGTTGAATTTCTTCGACAACATAAACGATTTTCAATTAGACATTTTTAAATTCTCGTTTCATTTCTACAGAGGATGAAAGTCTTTACACCTCACTTTCATTTCTAACTAAAATTTAAATTTTACAGCAACAGTGAAATAACCAGAAAAAATACCACAATAAGTAATAAAAAATAAGTGGAATCTGACAATTTGTCTGTCAAACTGTGTTTTTAGGTAAAAGAATAGTTTAAAAATTCTGATATTCATATTTAACTTGTTCATAATCATTCAGGGTTAATGTTAAGTCTATTTATTAAATTTATTTGCTATTTATTTTTTTGATTAAGGAAATTCCACATTTCTACATTTCATTTTAATTTCCTGCAGGTGAAGAACCAAATATTTTATCATCAGACTGCATTTAACTATAAAATATCTTAATTACATGAATTATGTAATTAATATAATTTGACTTTATTTTGTTGTAATTTTGAGAGGATTGATCTGGACTCGGTTCTGAAACTGAACACATGACTGGACCGTATTTGACCTGAACTGAACCAAACTGGATACGACTAAAAAAACAGACTTTGTATTTGTTGTGGATTAAAGCTATTTAAATAAAAACTAATAACTGAATTCAGTTTTGTATTGGCGTGATGGATTGAAGCTCACTTTTTACGTTACAGTGAAATAAAATCACCTTTTCACCTCATTCTGCTTATTACTTTTCTTTGGTTGAGGCCCACATTTCATATTCAGGAGATCTTCTTACTGTTGCAGGTTCATGCTCAGACTCACACACACAGACACACACACACAGAGTCAGGCTGGAGGTGGCCTAAGGGTAGAGCTAAATGAGTGACAGGCTGTGCAGGCCGAGCCCAGCTGGGGTTAGGGGAGTAGGAGAGGAGAAGCCGTAACCCGGGGCAACACTCAGGGCTCTCGCTGTTGTTTTCTGACGACTTGAAACACTCCACTGCTAAATAATGAATTTCTAACAGGCAGCACCAACACACACTGTTGGAACAGGTCTGAATCTGGGCATCAAACATCCACCACCAAACAACCACCGTGCAGGCAGTTCTGCAGAAACACACACACACACACAGGCAGATGGTTTATCCAGTGCAAGCCTGCAGACAGCGCTATTTATGCAAGCCAAAAATATAAGAAAGGGTCTTTGTTTGGTGATTTGAAGTTTTTAAATTTGGAAACCTTGAAAGAAAATATGGAAAATATCTGTTGCATATGCAGTTTATAATTTCTGCCACAATACTATTGAATAAAAATGTGCCAAAAACAAACAAAAAACGGTTAGGTTTTCCTAAAAATGCCAAAACAATGAAGTTCGGACACGTTGCTCCAAACAAATAATGTAAAGCTGCCTGATGTAAGTGGATTCCTGTCAGATAAAGACATGCAGTTTTACTGTAATAAGGTCAAGTCTAACGAAAAACAGTTGAAGGCATACATTTTTCATTTTACCTTTAGTTTGCCTGATTCTACTAATTTCTCTAACATGCTTCAACCAAATTAAATGTTTAGACTGATATTATTACAGGTTTAATCCACTTTGAGCCCAAAAGGTTTTATTAGTAAAATCTGCTTTCCAAATGTTACCACAAAAGAAAATCTATTATATATGCAGTTGCACCAAAAACAGATTAAATTTCCTTAAAAATGCCAGAACAAATGAAGTTCACACACATTTATCCAAAGACGAGGAGTTAAAGTTCAGTACGTTTAAAAATGTTTGATTGTAGCAGCTGGATTCCAATCAGATAAAGACATATTTTTGCTTTAATAAGGTCGAGTTTAATAAAAGCGAAAAAGGCATACCTATTTCATTTTATCTTTAGTTTGCCTGATTTTAATACACACTTCTATTCATTTCCAACATGCTCCAACCAAATTAAACTTTTAGAATGGCATTTGTCCTCATAATTGCAGGTTTAATCCACATTAAGCCCAAAAGGTTTTATTAGTGAGATCCGCTTTCCAAATGTCACCAAAATGTTAATTGGTAGATCAGGCTTCTGAAGAGACACCAAACATCTGAGTTTTGCACAGGCTGGGCTTTTGGGCCCACGCAGGTAATACGAGTCAGAACCGTTTTAACATGTAATATGATCCTCAGCCAATAAATGCACCGCGTAATGTGCTGCTTTCTGTAAACGTAATGCGACTCAGAAAGAAATATCGACATTTCTGAGCTCTCAAAATTAAATTCCTGCATTTTAAAACCTTAAATTTAAACGTTGTTCAAAGAAATGTTGAAACCAAAACGCCTGTTTTGAAGGTTGAGGTGGAGTGAAAATAAAGGGCCAGTCCGTGGGACTCACTTTGTGGCCAGCAGCATGTTTTTCCGCGTGTGCAGCTCGTTGGGGTCCGCATGTTGCCGGTTCAGGTACTCGCTCACAGCTTTCGTGGGAAACTCCGTCTCGCAGATGTAGCCGAAATCCCGGGCCAGGTGCACCGCCTCACCTGCGGGGAACAGCGGTTAGCGTACGCACCAACAACACAAACACGCACTCTGGATCTAAAATAGTGCAAAAACTAACATTAAACTTCGGGATTTTTTTAAATAATGTAATTCATAGGAACTCAATCACTGATTAAAAACTCAGGTTGTTATATTTTTTGGACACGTTTTCAAGCGACATATTGAGCAGGATTTTGCAGTTTAAAGTGAAAGTTCAAGTCAACAACTTTGACCTGTGAAAAATGCGAAGCTTCTCTTGTCCAAGTTGAAGGAACACAAGCTAATTAGATAACACTAATTATTTTTTTAAAATTGTTTATTTTTCATGCAACTGGACGCCCTTATTTTTGGGAGCATCTGGTGATTTTGCACTGATTATTGCAGAGTTTTGTTGGATTTTTAGGTGTACATGTTACAGTTTTTTAAAGGAAAATAGACAGCAGTGTCGCAGTCACCTTCTACAAGAGATGTTAGTAACGTGACGTTGGCCGCTTTACGTCTCCCAGCTGGAAGATTCAATCCGATCTTCTCCAGCTTTTCTCTTAGGCATTTGCCACCGTTTTTAGACTTTGCTCTGGAGGGAGAGAAAAAATAAGAATTCAATAAAACGTAAAAAGTAAAAACTAACATGGAATAGCGGAGTTTGTACCTTCTCAGCACGCCTCCTAGCAGAGAGGCGTTGAGGCACTCAGGTGGAGACAGCCTCCTCTGCACCTCCCCTACGGTCACTTTGTACTTGGAGGTGGAGCTGAGCAGCGACAGGCGGCCCGGTACCGAGCAGAACACCTCATTAATGTTGACGGTGACTCCGCCGATCAGGCCGTCCTTGCCGAGCATCAGGGAGCCCACGTTCTTGGGGGGCATGGGGACTGAAAGAGGACGGTGACACGGAGTTACAACACGTATGTGACAGTTTAACACGCTTTAAATGTCTTATTATTGTTTTTTAGCGTTTCCAGTGAGGCCGCGCGCGCTCAGCAGGCGGTTTGGCCTAATGAAGCGCCCACGTGCCGGGCATTTGCTGTTATTTAATGTCGCGCGACATTCTCATTATAGTATTATCGATTGTTGATTGGCTCGCGTTCTCAGATCGCATTAACCACCTCCCAGTTTCCTCTCCACGGCCAGTTTGCCACCGGAAGCCCCTCCGCCCTGTTAATGGCGTCAAGCATCCAACCAACCAAGCGGACAACCGTCGTCCGGATCCGTGAAGCGGCCGGGGCAATGGAGCTTTTTCTTGTCTTTCTTCCTTTCTTTCCCCTCCTGATGGCTCCACGGGGGATAATACCGCAGATTAGCTCTAAACGAGCTCACGAGATCTCCGTGAGCGGTGCCATTTATTACATCAGCGGCTTAAATGCCCCGCGGGGAGCTCAGTCACTCAACATCCCGTAACTAAATCACCGCACATCATCGCTGCAGCCTGTCAGCAACACACTGCCTGCCAGTCAATATACCGGGGGTCGTTAACTCGGCTCCAAACTGCTCAGCGTGGACTGGGGGGCCACCGTGGCCCTCAGGAGCCAAAATACAGCCACGCTAAAACTAATCGGAACACAAAGCATTCTGCAGAAACCTCCGAGTCTTACACAAAAAACGAAAGAAGAACAATAATCGAAAACATAACAAACATGGTGTAAAATAGCAACGCATTGCTTAAATTAAACTATATAGTCAACTTACAAATATTAATTTTACAGTTCACACAGATATTTAGATAAATAGTATGGAAGCAATGCTTTCCTGCAATGGAATGAAAAATAGAAAACAGAGCGCGTACCTTTCTTAATTACCGATTGATCCAGGATATTGGTTCCGTTGGCGTCTTCGATGGTCTGTTAGAACCGAGATAAATACAAACCATTACAGCCTGTTTCATACAGAATTACTCACGATTTAATAACTAAACAGTCAAGCTCTGCTTAGCTGGAGGGAGAAAAGAAAACAATCCATCAGCCGCACCGAGTGGAAGAGACTTTTATATTCAGACCGGATTTATTAAATAAATCAAGTTTATTTGTGTTTCACGTCTCAGCAACGAGGCAGTTTAAGGTGCTTTACGTCATAAAAACTTTTAAAAATTGATAAAACCAAATTTTATTATGAAAATCTGCAAGAAAGTATTACCAAACTGGATTCAAACATTTTAATTTAAGGGATTTTGGGTTTTCAGTGAGTTGTTGTCATAAAAAAATGTCTTGAGTATTCAAAATAAAATCAATAAATTAAAGAATAAATGCTTGGAAATACAGTTCCATAATTTTGTTAACATATAAGAAAACATGAAAGCGTGGAGGGAACTGGGTGGTGAAATGACAAACAGCTCATGATGGCTTCGCCCTGGGGGGAAACGAAATCCTGCACAGCTGAGCATGAAGCCAGTTTCTCACAAGACCTTAAAAATAAGACAAAATAAAAGGAAAATAACCTGAAATAAAACTCTAAATAAATGAAATAACAAAAATAAAAGTAATGGCATATTTATTCTGCAGTGGTCAGAAAAGAAGCAGAAATTTGTTATTTTTGATGTCCAACATCACTAATAGCCCACGTTTTAAGTTCTTGATATATTTTACTGGTTATTTCTTAATTTGGTGAATTTAGAAAAATAATCTCATCTGTTAGATTTGTGTTGTGCGCTCTAACGCAAGAAGCCAGTTTTACGCACGTATCCGAATCTTTCTCTTTTGGAAACAAGCAGCCTGGAGATGGTTTATTTTAGCTGCGGGCCTTTTGCGGGTCAGACTGCAGCTGAGAGCGTCCAGCCCTGAGGGAGCCGCTCTCACTTCAGCCACCTTAACCCGCAAAGATGCGCGAAATATGCGGGGCTTAAGAGGAAGAAAACACCAGGAACAACCGCCTCATCTCGGTTTGTATTTGGTTGTTTAAAAATAAGACCGTTGTTATCCGCATTCATAAGGATTTTGTGATGAAAAAAAAAGAAAATAGCAGCTTTCAAAATAAAGAATGAAATGTTTAAACAGCTGAAATACAAAAAAAAAATGTTTATCTTCTCGTCAACACGGCGGGATGTCCAGGTTCTGTAAATCTGAACATTCAGTTTTCTTCGTCTCACCTGAACGTCCTCCATGCCGTGCAGGCCGTGCAGCAGTCCGTCTCCCATGCCGGGCTCCAGTCCCGGATGTGCGGAGTGCAGCAGCACGTCAGGCCGCCGCACGCCGCCGTAATCCCGCCGTGGGTCCAGCCCGGAAAGCTGCGGCAGAGATGCCCGAGGCTGCGCCAGCAGAGCCGAGCTCTCCATCCGGTCCCCGGCGGCGTCCTGCCGCTGACGCGCGCCCCATGCGCCCTGCTGGCTCTGATGGAGCGAGTTCAGGGAGTACGGGTCGCTGACGTGGGAGTACGGGTCCTGGCTCTGGTAGTGAGCGAGCGGCTGGTATGGCGGAGGGAAGTATGGCGGCTGGAAGTCCGAGGAAGGCGCATGAGACAGCGGCGGCGCGCTGGAGTAAGGTCCGGCGTGCGACACCGAGCCCAGCTGGGACAGGCGCGAACTGTGGCTTGAGACACCGTCATGCCGGTCCTTTAACAACGTGCATAAAACAAACATTAAAAAGTTACACTTTGTTAGAGGACACACGTTTCAAAGCACTGAAATCATCTTAAAACATGACGCTCCCGGACAAAAACACACGAAAAAGCCTGAAGCGGAACTGTTAACACCTGGTTTACAAACCTTCCAGTGTGGAGGAAAACTCACCCCAGTGGAGTAGGGATGAACTAACATCTGTAACGTGTGCTGGCAGCCGATGCACGATCAGAGTGAAATAACACAAACCAGGACGTGTTCGGTCGGAGGAAGACAAACAAACTCATTCCAGGTGAAAGCCGAAGCCTGAGTGTCTGCAGGCAGGCCACGCAGAACCGTCCTGCGCCCGGAGCTGCCGCCGCTCTGAGTGACTGTGAGCGCCGCGCTCCCGCCTCTACCCCCGGTGCTCGGTGTAATTGTTATTCATGACTGAGACTTACAGGAATATTAATGCGCGCCGTGGCAGGGGACTGGCGACACATGGAGCGTGAAGCCGTCCGCGCAGCCGTGAGTGACGTTGAAATCCCGTGGAGAGCCGAGAGGAGACAGAAGAGAGGAGTCGCTCTCGGAGGAGAAAGTGGGGATTTCCCCTCGGACTATTGGCACTTCGGGGACAAATCTGACGCAGTTAAGCACGTCTTCTCGCACCAGGAGACATTATTGCGCCAATAATTTCAGCGTAAACATTTTGGACAACGAAAGTCAGACATAATTCACGCTGTTTAGGATTTCTCACCCGAATTTCACCCCGAATGTCAAACAACCAATTTATAAATCTAAATCTGACTTCCAGATGCATTCCTTTCTTCCTTTCTTTTGTTTTCCTTCTTGCAAACCCTAGACCCGGCGTGGCGCGTGAATGGTGTCACGAGTTTAAAGAAGCGATTAAAGTTGATGTCGCGGGGCTTCGCGGCCGCTCTTTGCCCTTTTTGGATGACTTGTTTAACAACATTCCGTCCTCCCTTCCCCACGCACCGTGGGAGAAAAGACATGTGCTGCACGAGACAAGGGCTTCCCACCGGGCTCGAGGCTGCAGTGGGCCTCGCGCGCATTGTGCTCCAGTCCATTCAGCTCGAGCCGGTTCAAGCATTTCTCCCCCAGCGCGCGCTGCGTAAATCTCCTCCTTATATCTCCGTTTCTGCTCCTTTTTGTCACATTGTTTTAAAAATAAAAAAGCGAATTTTTGCTTTTGGATGAAAGTCAAAAATATTTGCATGTTTTTACAAACTTACACCCTGCGCTGCTTCAAATTAGATCTACTTTCCAGCAAAATTCCAAACCTTAATTTAAACATTTTATTTGTATTTCTACATTTTTGGCTTTTCAGCACCACTTTTAATCACCCTGAAGTTTTTAATTTCAGTCTGAAATCGTTTTTGATGTTACTAACCAGTGATTAGCTGTAAAAGATTGAAAAAGAAAATACAAACGCTAAAGATATTGCGAACTACATCCCATATAAAACAAAAAGCAAATACTTTAAATATTCCAACAACTGAAAAAATTTCACGTCCTAATTTTACAGCATTAAAAAAATCCCACGCAGGCCTAAAACCTGTCAGAAAAACACTTTAGTTGCACAATTTTTTTGTTTGTTTTTTTTTTTTTTTAGCATTTTTCTAATCAGTCCGCCAAGCTCCCAACGTCACAAACAGCTGGATGGAAACGTTACCTCGTAAATATCTTCATACTTGACATTCTCAACTAGTTTCCACAGCATGGTCGCTTCTCCGGTGTCGGTAAACCGAATGCAGCCAAGTGAGGAAGGGACGTCTCAACTCTCGTTCTCTCTCCTCCCTCCCGCCCTTCTCCTCTTCCTCCCTCCGCCCTCCGTAATAATGTCAGGCAGCCGGGCGGGCTTTGTGAATGGGGAACCCCTGGAAGGACTTCAGCTCTGTGAGACGGAGCTACAGGGCGTTCTGACAGCAGCGGGGTGCGTTTGTGTTTGAGCAGCGAAGAACTGCAGAGGATGCATGTTTTATTTAGCGGCGCATGTCTGCGATGCACCGCCAGCTCACGGAGAAAGAGAAATCTGTTTGCTGTATTTCTGTAACATTATGACTTAGAGAATTGGAATGAGTTTGAGATTTTCTGGAGAGAGTAGATTGATTGAAACAACTGAATAATTCAATAAATAATTATCCCCATATCATCTTATCACCGTCTTAACATCCCGAAAATAGCTCCTGGTGATTATCGTATTGTTTATCACTTATCGTGATAATATTCTTTACATGAGAAGAGTTTTGATTTATCGTTGCCAAGATAAAGTCCAAATATTAATGTTTAAACTATTGTCTGAATTGATAGTTTTACCATTTTCTCCACTGTCTGTTCAATGAAAGCATCAAAAAATACCAAAAATATTGAAAACACATTTAAAATGTGCAGCTTGGTGATACAAATCACACATATCTATGTAACTGGCATCCTAAAAAAGCGTTTTACAAATGGAAATGTTTTTAAAGAGCAGAATTTGTGTTTGTCGGGCTATAATTGCTGACACATAAGATGCATTTTCAGTATAAACATGCAAAAAAACCTTTGCTAATGTTGAAAAAACACAATTTTGTAGTTGCGATGTCTCCATTAAATAAGAAATTAAATTAAAATCACACCTGAATAAGTTTCTAAAAAACACAATCCGCCATTATCCTCCATCTACTTCCTTTCGTCCCTTCTTCATGGTTTGCGCCAGTAGTAACATCCGGTTGTGGATCACATGACCAATGTCATCGCAGTTTTGCAAAAATAATCCAATACTGTTACAGCCAAAAAAAAAAAAAGAAAAGAAAAAAATCTTGCGCCAAAACGTTTTATTGCAAAACAAGAGTTTTTTTTTCAAAAATTTATTTTCGAAATGTCAAATTGCGCAGTTATAGTCCGTGGAAATGCAGCTATTGTCACATACAGACACAAAAAAGATCAAACGAATCGTTTTTATCATCACATCAAAACTTTAAGTCGTATCGCCCAATCACTCTAGGTCATAGAGTTGTGAGAAAGTAACTCAACTTTTACTTGCCATCTTTGTGTAAAAATAAAATTAGTTTGATGATATGAAGCATTTAACATGTAACAAAAATCAAAAATAGAAGAAAGAAGCAATAAATAAATAGCTTTCACAACAGTGGGTGTTAAACATGCAACATCGGGTCAGACATATTTACTGCAGCGGCAGCTCAAGGTTTGCGGAGTAGAATTTCTTCTTGGACTCCTTTGGTCCATGTTGAGACATTTTTAACCCATTTTTTTTACAGTGCAATCTAATGCAACAACAATGAATTAAATTGATTGCACAAACTTTGTTTTGATTCACAGTCACATTATTTATTGAATAAATATAACTTGGGACACAAAAAGATGCAAAATACGCACAGATACTTCATTTCAAAGTTGAATTTAAATATGTGTGTTTAAGCTGCTTAGTTAAAATAGGATTTTTGCATAAAAAGTTTTGACACAAGTAGATAAAATGACTACATTTTAATCAGAAAATTCAATCTTTGAAGGTTTTCTGCACGTCTGCAACTGCATTTGCAAACCGTGCAAATGTATTTTGTATTTGCAAACCTGTTTGAGTGGATTCCAGCGCTTTGTGACCGCCAGGCCAGCAGAGGGCAGCATCTGTAAAGTCTGCTTAAAATTCCTCCTACCTCTTTACTGAACTTTCTGATTATTTTTATTAATATTTTCCATTATTTGGATATGTGAAGTGCCCAATTTTCTTCCCTGTTAATTCCGTTTATTCTCCAGGTTGACATTTCTGATATGTTTTGAAAAAGAAAATGTATTCAAGTAAATTTTTGTACTCTGTATGAATGTTATTTATTTAAAAATAGCACATTGCATTGTTATTATGGAAAAAAACAAAACAAATAACAAGTCATGTAGGTCAAAGCTTACAGAGCAGCTTAAGAAAACCAGCAAGATTCACAGCTTTGTAGAGCCGCCCCCTGCTGGCCATGAGGCCACAGGACAGCTAGGTAAATTCAGCAAAAGTTGTGTTAGCAGAGTGATAAGTTAAAGCTAATTTAAAAATGTGCTGCATTTGTCTGAGTGGGGAGATCTAATAGCATTTAATCTATTTAAATGCTATTAGTTCTTTTGTAATGACATTTAATCTGTCGCGAAAAATGTTTGAGAAACAAATGATCTTTCTAAGCATAGTATAATGAAATAGAGCAGTTGTTCTAATGTAAATAAGTTGTTGATTCAGAAATAGTGAATTAATCTAATTAAATATAGTTCATTTTGTCTTCTGCTTCAGAAATTAATGTCTGATTACTTCCTTGTAATCTTATTTTCTCAGCATAAAGAAGGGTTTTTAAATACTTTTGAAACTGAACTAAATTGAACTAAATAAACTCAAAAGTACATTTCTTAAATGATATTTTAATATACCAAGTGGTATTTATATCATAAATGATGTAGGTTACAGCTCCTTTAAAGAATTATCTTGAAGTGCATCCAGGTCCTGTTGTGTTTTGTAGATCTTCCAACCTTTCACTTTAAATGAAATGTGTCCCACCACATATCTGTTTGCTGTTCCTCACCTCTTGTGCTTGTTCTCTATCTCACTTAATTTAAAATCAACACAGGGACATGTTTGTGATTCTTTTTAAAACACTGCAATAAATAAATAAAACTTAAAATTGACCATTTTTACCTATTTTACTTGGGGATAAAATTGTTTATTATTAAAATATTAGATGTTAATTGTGAAAATAGTAAATCCTGCATCAATTAGATTTTCTGTTAAGATGAAATAATAAAATAAAATATGCATATCATGAGTCTGTTTGTGTGATATTATGAAAGGGGAAAAAAATGTGCGTTGATAAATGGACGTTTTTCTAAAAAACGTTAAGTAATATTTTAAAAAAGATTAAATGAACGTTTCTCTAAACCAAATCTGATGTAAATAATTTGTTTTTAATTCCTCTTCAGCTTCCTGCTCATGACCACAGAGGAAGAACTGAAACGGTTCAGTTTTACTGCTGCGAGTCTCTGAGGGTTTGCCCAAATGTGTGCGAGCTGCGCCCTCTAGTGGTACTAAAAGACACGTGCAGTTCCGACTAAGACCAGTAAAAGGCTCATTGTTGGAGAATCGGTGTTATTGCGCCGCAACGTCTGAGTTAGAAGAGACATTTCAACATAAAGAGACTCTGTTTAGTTGCTTTCTTACACATTTTGCACATTTTAGTACATTTTATACTGGATGTGTTGATTACCAACGTTCAGCAGATTTTATTTATTTATTTAAATGTAATTTCTGGATGCCATTTTCTCCTCTAATGAGCTTTTATGTAAGGAGTTTTGGTCATACTACTTTGAATCTCGTTTAGTTTTGAGGATATGATAAGACAAACTAATGTTTAATGATTAAAAATACATAAAAAGAAAGAAAGAAAACCAAACTAATGATATGAAGCATGAATGTTTAAGAAGCGCGGCTGTTCCCATGTTTTCTGCAATGACCCACTGCCAAAGATCCACCCATCCTCCTCCCTGTGTGTGTCTGTCTCTCTCTCTCTCTCCCTCTCTCTCTCTCACACGCACGCACATGGCAGGACATATGACTGTCAGCAGTAGCAGATGTCCTGACAGTCTGGAAGTCTGGAGGCAGAGTTGTGGATCTTGTCCTGAAGGGCCTTGACACGCGATGTATCAGCATACATTACACACACGCCGCACTAATATTCACAATCTGGTTGCTTTTGCAGCAAATGAGCTGCAGTTTAGAGCTTCCTTTTCTTTACAAACGCAGCTTTGTTTGCTGTGGTTCTTAGTTTTGAACCTTTAAATTCTCTCCTGGTTCCTGTACTGGTGAACTCTTTGCATCCTTTCTGCATAAAGTTAAAGCCAAACCTTGTTTTATAATTATATGAATGATATTTGCATAGAACTATGAAATAATTTGTGGAAACAAATGTATTTAGTGGTAATCGATGCAAAATCATAGTAAAAGAAACTTTTTTACTGCAAATCTTTAATCCAAAGGCTTATTTCCTGCCATGTTGAATCAATCATTTATATTATGTGTTACTAGAACAGCACAATCTGTTTTTATATATCTACAGCTCTAATGAAGAGCCCACTGAAAACCTCCAGGTTATTCCACTAAATATTGATTTCTGAGTTAAAACATTAGTATTGTTGTTTCTAAATGAATATAAATTTGTTTTCTTTGCATTATTTGAGCTCTGAATGCTCTGCATCTTTTCTTATTTTGACCATTTCTCATTTTCTACAAATAAATACAACATTTCGGCATGTAATTTCAGAGACATGTTGTCAGTAGTTCATATAATAAGACAACAATGTTCATGTTACTCAAACATAAACCAATAAACAGTAAAATCAGAGAAACTGATAAGTTATCTCTTAATTTTTTACAAAGCTATAAAGGTTAAAAATATATTTATATATATTTAGACAGAAAAATGCTGATTTTAGTACAAATTATTTATTCTGCCGTTTTTTTATGCGTTTACTTTATTTACCTACACATTTAGCATTTGTATATATGTATTTATAGTCAAACTTATAATGTTTCTGTATTTTTTCCACAACATTTAATTGCGAAATTCACTGTTGTGTCTTTGACAATAAAGTAATTCTGTTTTCTAATTTAAATGCAACATTTTAACCCCCCACATTTGTATTGCAGTTAGGTACATTGGCCACTAGATGGCAATAACACCCCACAAAACCGAACATCCGCAAAGCTGACAATGTGGATTTATTGACTCTTTTTCCCATTTCCGTCAATGTCAGAGAATATTTTAATGGTCTTCACTTCAGCCACAGTTATTTTTAATATGATTTGAAATAGAAAGAAACAAAATCTTTAATAACTTTGCTGTTTATCCAAGTAAATATACCTGCTGTACGTTAATGTCTCTATACATCTGACCGCCTGGAAACATATCATCCGAGCTGAAGCTGCTGCTTCGCTCCCTATTTGGATTCTTGCAGGTTTTAAATGCAAAAAGCTCTTGAAGTGCGACAGGGAGCGACAAGGACAGTCAGGATGGAAGCGGAGGAGAGAAAAAGCGCCTCGAATGTTCCTGGGACTGAGCGGGATCAGGACAGAGGAGGAAGAGGGTTTTAGCAGAGCGAAGATGAGCAGCAGCGGGGTTACAGCTTCAGAGGAGAGACGCGGCTTTAGAAGTTGGCAGAGTTTGGTGTTCATGGCTGTGGGGCTCAGTCAGCGGGAGTTATCGTCCCTCTGAGACCTCCGGCTGTTTCATTCACCTCCATATAAATGGCAGAACTCTGACATGCCTTTTTTTTTTTTTTAGTTGAAAATGTATATTTTTAGTGTGTGCTCAGCATGGTGAGCCATCCTGAATGTAAAGCCTGCATGGGGGGAAGAATCTGCTCACAAACCAGAGCGAGATTTCATAAAAATGTACAACAGAAGGTGAATAATGGTGGAACTGAAAGTTGCTTTACGTTGTCATAAACCAGCGTTGCATGTTAATGCGATCAATAAAAGCACTCCTGTTGTCAAACTTGCAGATGAATCCCGTCCTCTTCTCAGTTTAAGATGGAAGCTCATCGATTTAATTCTCCAGCTGAATTTACTCCTGTCTATCATTTGCACAACATCTTGCAAACATATCAACACCAAAGCAACGTTTTGTTTCATGAAAATCACTGAATGCTTCTGAGATCAGCACGGAAATGTCCATTTCCCAGTCAAAATGATTCAGTTTTATAAATATTTTAAATTAATTTAAGCTGCAGTATGTAGCTTTCATTAAAAAAATATATATATATATTTTTTTTACATATTTGCAGAAATAAACAAATCAGATCCAGGAGGCGGGACTTAGTGCTGTCAATCACTCTTTTTTTCTCTCTCTACAGGCTATCCTGATATCAATGCTAAAGCTAGTTAGCGTAGCCACTGATAATGACAGATTGTTCCTCCTCTATTAGCACATTTAGCATTGAGTACATGATGTTGATTGACAGCACTAAGACCCGCCTCCTGGCTCTGATTGGTTGTTTTTGATGCAATTGTCAGACGGCAGTAGCAGCTCAGCGAGGAGGAGATCCATCTTTTCACAGATTATCTAACTAATGCTGACGGTTTGAATAAATATGGAACATAAATATTTTTGTAAAAGTTTTTTTTTTTTTTGTAAAAGTAGAGCATTGATTTTTATTCATCTGCTCTCTGCCAGATTTTTTTTGGAGCCATTTTTTGTTGCAAATGCAGCAGCACGTTTTTTCACTCACCGGTTTATTCAGCCAAAAATTACTTTGCTAAATAAATCTGTGGTTCTACTATGTTAAGAAAAGAATGAATGAATGAATGAATGTTTTTTTTACATTAAATTTACATCTTTAACTTTTAATTTGGCTTTTGAGTTACTGACGCCAGCAGATGAATGGCCACTGATTGAAAGATAAAAATATTCAATGCTTTAGGTCCTTTAAACCCTCTTTAGATGCCAAACAGAGTATCTTCATATTATTGTTTCTACCAAAGGTAGTGTCAAAAATGACAAACTAAATATAGATTAAATTAAAACTGACGAGACCAAACATGAACTGAATCTTGAAAAGAAAGTGATTAAAGATGCAGAAAAGTTTCCACATGGTCCTTTAAATCACTGTGGAATAAAACACCAGACATTTCTGAGCTCATTTGCAAAGAATAACAGAAAAAATTGTAAATTCAGAATTCAAATTTAATTTTCCGTCTTATTCCACCTCTTTTGACTCCAAAACTTGACTAAAGTGAGATTTTCCAACAAGTCACTTCCATCCCTAATGATACAAACTTTTATTTTTTTGACATTGTGCATCTTTGTGTTTGCACAGATGCAGGAAGTAAAATATTTTTGTTGAAGTTCATTTTTTTGTCCAGTTTGGTTGGTAATGTGTAATCACGGTGTGTTGATGGTTTTTGCCCTGCAGCACAGAAACATCAACCAGGAATCTTTCAAAACGTAACTTAAGTTTTTAAATCGGTGAACTGCAGAAGGTTTGGGGTTAATATTGTAGAATTTAAAATAATACTTTGCATCTTGTGGAGTAAAAACTGTAAAAATGGCCATTTATGCAGATCTTTTTAAAATAGTTTTTAGGCATTTTGACCTGTTAATCATCCAGTGAATGAAATCCGCAGAATCTGAAGTTTGAAAAGACACAAAATCAACTGGAAACCAGTAAATGTGTTATAAATGTAATGGTTTTCCAGCCCTTTGCAGCTTTAAGGAATATAATCTGCAGATATTTGCAACAATCTGCTGAATAATTCTGGATAATCTTGCAGGAAAAACAGAACTGGTTTCCTCCACCTGAGTCACTTCCTTCCTTCTCCTTCGGTTTTCTCCACCCGAGGCTCCATTTGCACCGATTGTGGGTGACAAATCAGTGCAGACATCAGTGTAAATGCATCCTCTCTGACTGCGTGTGTGTGTGTTTTTCTTCTTGCATTGTGCGGCGAACGTGACCTCCTTTCTAAATGACTGGAATATTAACGAGCAAACAGAAGCGGCGCAGCCCGGATGGAGACGCCAGCAGGCAGCTGCTCTTCCTTCTGTTTTATCATTAGATTTTTGGAGAATCAGAATAAACAGGGAACGTGACAGAAGTCGCTCAAACCGGAGGAAAACACACAGGCGTTTGAAGTTTCCTGTAGGTAGAGCGTTCTGTGGCAACATTAGACGAGAACTCTGGCTTTTCATAATTTTGACACTGTGAACTCGTTTGGATTTCTCACACTCTCTGGCTTTGATCTGCGTGTTTTCGTCTCCGCTCACTCTGTTGCTTCCTGACGTTTTTGCACACACGTGTTTATATATGAAGCGTGTATGTTTGCATGACAGAATCAAACTAAAAAAACAAACTGTAGAACACAACTGTCTTTATTGAACACCAGCATTTTAGAAGGTAGAGATTTAACATTTATATAGTCGAAAGCCTACAAGAAAAGTTATTTAAATATTTATATATATCTGTACAAATGTTCATGAGCGAGTCGGAGAGCTCGTGTCGGCTAAACTTGCAATCTGGATCGTGTACAAAGACAGACATGCACAAAGCAAAGTCACTCTTTTACAAAATGGCTGAGTTGGACCCTTCTCTCTTGCTTTAGATCACTCTCTCTCTTTCTCACACACACACACACACACACATGCGCGCAGACACATTCAGGCCAGACTCACACACACCCCAGTGCAGCCTGCTGAGCTGAGAACGGCGTGCAAAAGTGTTTATACCGCCAACATTCTCACGTTTGCTTAACTTACAACCACAAACTTATATCAACACAACAAAGCACAAATTGGATGGAAAATAAATGTTTCACAGACGAAAAAAAATGTGAAAAATATTCAAAACATAAAAACTTACCAAGTAGTTTTGGTTTAGTTTCTAGTGCAGATATTTTTTGTATACATGAAATGAGACAAAACAACCTTTTAGCAAAAATAAGAGCTTGTTTTAAGTCAATAATATCGATGAAATACTGAAATAATCTGCAAGTGGAGCAGATTATTTCAGATTATTTCCTACATCAGATGTTATTGACTTAAAACAAACTCCTTTATCCCACTGAAGTTTCCTGTAAGTTTTGTTTTATTTCAAGTGTACTAAGATATTTGCACTGGAAACTAAAGTAGATTTTTTGTTTTTGCAGCAGCAGCAGCGAATCTTTGGTGTTGAGTTTCTACCAGCTTTGCATATTTAGCTCTGACTGGTTTTTATTTCCTGTGCCTCCCACAGCATAACACTGCCACCACCATGGTGTTCAGAATGAGGCGCAACACAAACTCATGCAAATTGTCAAGAAAATTATTTTTTTTACGTTTGCTGTGACCTTTTGACTGTTATATTTTCTTAGATTAATGACCTTTGCAGTCATGACACACAGTTTCCGTTTTCTCATAATTATCTGAAAAGATGTTCACTGCATTGTCACATGTGTCACATCTGGCCTGCTGTAGCTTTTTATGTGGCCCTCTAGATTCTACATTAAATGATTAAATGCCATGTTATCAATCAAATCAATGGGTTTTTATCTGCTTACTGCCAAATTATATCAATCAGTCCCTCCAGTTTCTTGAGAATTATCGTGGACATAATTTGGGGGAATCTGTTTACAGGATATAATAAAAAACTAAAATATATGTCTGCTTTCTTTTTTCTTTTTGCAACTATGCTTAACTTTGTCTTTCACATGAAATCCAAATGAAATGTTTCTGCTTGTGGTTGCAACAAGACAAAAAAAGTGAAAAAGTTCAAGCGGAGTAAAAACTTTTGCAAGACGATTCTGACATAAAAACCCTGACTGAGGTTCAAGAGCTGTGCAGGTCAGGAGAGTTCTGCATCCAGACCTGATCTGCTAAAAACGCAGAGAAACAAAATGTAAACATTTGTAATCAATTACTCCTCAAGCGATCTGAACAGATCAATTATCAGAGCAGGAAAACATTTTGAGTTTTTGCAGTTTTGCAGAACAAATGCACTGATTTGTAGAGCTTCACACCCAGACCTGGAAAAATAAAACTTTTTCAGAATAAATAAAGAAATAAAGAAATAAATGTTCACTGTAAAATCCAAAATATCACCAAATATATTTGGTCGAGTTCCTAGTGCAAATATCTTAGTGCACTTGAAATAAAACAAAATAAGTAACTTTCCAATAAGACATAGGAGCTCGTTTTAAATCAAGAATCAGTTTCACTCAATACATTTTCTATAATTTATAAGAACTGAAAAGTTACTTTTAAGTTAGTTTTGTCTTATTTCAAATGTATTTAGTTATTTACACCAGAAACTAGACCAAAAATACTTTGTAATGTTTTGTATTTCTCACTTTCTGTGTTCGGGAAACTTAAATTAGTGTTAGACTTCCACTTAAGATAAATAAATAGGAATAAATATTTCCTTCAGAAGTTATTCAAAAAAGATGTGTGGGAGTCACACACACACACACACACACACACACACACACACACACACGCATACACAGATACACTCCTAAGATTCAGCGCTCCAAGGCACGGCAACCAGGTGTGTGAGTGTCAGGGGTAAGAGATGCTACTCAGTCTTTTCTGACTTCCCGTCTTTGTTCTGGGATTCGGCTGTTTTCCGGAGCTGCGTCTTTTCCGAGCTGCTGTTGATCTGTTGCTCGTTTGGCCCGCTCGTTTTGCCGCTCGAGTTTTTGTCCAGGTAGTTGAGCATCTCGCTGAGGACCGTCTGGAAGGTGCTGAGCGCCGCGCAGACCGCTGGCGTGCCGAAACCGTGAGTGATCAGGCTGCAGGGAGGAGACGGAGAAACGTGAGATCAACCGAGTCCAGACAAGCCAGAGGAGAGTTTGGGGTTATTTAGGACTCTTAAATCACGGCAGATTCTCTCAAAGCTGCAGTGAAAGCTGCTGCTGCTGCTTCTTCAGGGTTTTAATGTCCACTGAATGTTTAAATTAGGCTTCATGAGGGAGGCTTTACTGGCTTCTTCCATTTGAACAGTTCTAGGTTTTGGTAAATTAGTCAATTTTCTTATACTGGCTTCTTTTTAGACACTAAAAGCTTTGATTGTCACCAAAGTATATTCAATAATAGTTGATTTATAAGATTTTAATTAATTTTCTAGACCTACACATCTCTATTCCTTCCTTCCCCATTATCACTTTGCACTTTTTCATTAGGTGGCTAAAATATTTAGCTCAGAAATGCGATATTTCTTCACAAAGTCATCAGAACAAGTGAGGACTATGGGGCATACAAAACATGTTTTTACATTTCTGCACAAAATCATCCTTAGATAATGAGATTTTAATCTGCTAGGTTCTTCCTTTCAGAATGTTTTGGGACGTCTTGTCACTTTAAATCCAAATAGGTTGCTGCTGGCCACGCCCCCAAAGTCAACACTACCACCTGAAAAAATGGCTGCAAACAGATGCGCAATTACACAGCTGTATATCTTTGAAAAGCAAAAGTGGAGCCTTCTGCACAACCAACAGGAATGTAGGAAGTGGTTTCTGGATGGTAAGTCAACAACAAAACACATATCTTCTCCAGCAGCCATTGTACAGCAGTAAAACCAGCTGACCAAACATGCTGGAGATCAGATTATCAGGAGGTTTTTAATCTGCTCACTTTCCAGACACCAAAAACAGCTGGGTGGTTCTTCATTTGCAGAAATAATCAGGCAGCAAAATTTAATGCATTCAGGGAAGATGAGGTCAAATTAGCTTAAAATCCATCTAATTTATGTTCCTTCGATAAATTTCAAATAATGCTGAATAAAAGTCACTGCAGAGTCACAAAAACAAAATACTCATCTTTCATATTAATCACTTAAAGCAAATGTGTCAAACTCGGGGCTTGTGGGCCAAGTCTGGCCCGCCGTAGCTTTTAATGTGGCCCTACAGATTCTAGGCTAAACACTAAATGTGCTTAAATATCATATCAATCAAATCAATGCAGTTTTTATCTGTTTACTGCCAAATTATATCAATCAGTCCCTCCAGTTTCTTAAGAATTATTGTGGAAATTCACACAAAATCAACAAATTCCTGCACTTTTTTGCGCTGATACATAATTGGGAGTTTATTGCAGATTTTTCTCAAAAATTGTCAAAAACTTTCTTTCTTGTACTAAACAGCTGCCTCAGCTTTAACTGATGTCAGATTATAGTCCAGGATCTACACAGCGAGGAATAAAAAGTCATAAATAAGAGCAAATATCTCCAAATTAGAACCACAAATACTTTGATTTTTATTGGAAAAAATCACAAAAAGAATCACGAAAACCTGGAGGGACTGGAAAGATGTTCAATAATATTTAATTTTAATAATTCATTGATATTTTAACAGTTAGTGATCAGGTTTTTATCAATACACAACCGGCCCTTTAAGAGGGTTCATGGTCTGGATTTGGCCCAAAGCAAACATGAGTTCGACTCTCCTGACGTCAAGCTTGGAGTTCTTCAGTGAATATCTCAACCCTCTCTATCAGTTTGGTAACTTTTCTCAAATGTGACATTTCCCGTAATGAGGCTCCTCTCCTCTCGCTGTTTGTGCCAAATCTCCAAAAGCACAGCTGCGTCGTTTGGAAAGTAGCAAAGAGGTCACTGGCTCAACGCGCAGAGCTTCTCGCAGCAGTTTTTAAAACCAAGAGTGACACAAATAGAGCGTCTCTCTCTCTCTCCTGATGTGCTAATTTGTGTAAATGCTACCTGAAGTGTGTGAGGTGTCTCTGGATGTCCAGGTCCAGGATGGGGGTCGGCCTGGAGGAGCCCAGAGGAGAGCGGTCCTGGCTCAGCAGGTCCTGGAACTCCTTACAGATTTGCCTGACAGGCAGGAGGAGGGAGAGAGGAAGGGTTGACCATCTGTCCCCGACCACAAACCCACACTTCTCCCCACAAACCCATCCATCTTCATCACTTTAAATCAGAAAAAATAAAATAAAAACTGCTAATGTAGAGAAGGACGTGGTCAGGTTTTAAAATTCACTTCAAAGAGGAAGTTTGCACCGGAGTGGGCGATTTGGATTTAAAGCTTTATCATAAAAGTGACGATAAAATATACTGAACTCTCTTTTAGGTAACTATTGGTGCGACTGTCACAGCAAACACCAGTCACACGAAGAAGAGAAATTAAACTGCAAATGCATTTAACAATGCAGAAAACAGCAAAACTAACAATCCAGACAGTTTGCAGGTCTTTAAGTTTCATCAGCTGGAATTTTTCGTGATGGTGATAAATCAAAATTATTGAGAAATTTATTACGATAAATGATATGAGGCGAAAAATGTGCTTATTGATTACTAAAAAACTTTAAGCACCAAGAAAACTTATCAAAGATGCATCTGACATGGAAATCCAGAAACACGTGAGATAAGACTATTTATGATTGTGTTTTATATGTGCACTGCAAAAACACAAAATCTTACCAAGTATTTCTGCAGCAAATATCTTAGTTCACTTTAAATAAGAACAAACTGAGTTACAGGAGCAGAAGCCGGAGCTCGTTTTATTCCTTAATATTAATGAAAAACTGGCAGATTGTTTCACTTTAGGGAAAAGTGTCTCGTTACAAGTGAAACAAATCAATATTATTGACTTAAAAGAAGCTCTGATCCCGCAGAAAGTCAGCTGTAAATTAGTTTTGTCTTATTTTACTCAGATTATTACTTGGCAATATTTTGTTTTTGTTTGCAGCGTGTTCCTGTCTCCTCCTCACTTCGTTGCCAGAACCATCTTCTTGCGTGCGTTGGTCTCTTTCGGCTCACTGTGCTGCCTCGCCAAATGTTCTCCCACCGCCTTGCTGGGAAACTCGGTCTCACAGGTGTAGCCGAAGTCCCTCGCCAGGTGGAGCGCCTCACCTGCAGCCAACAAAAAGCACCAGGAATGAGCAGGGAGGCGAGGAGTAGAGCGGATTAAATATTAAAAACGTGATGAGCGGCGTGACGCACCTTCCACCAGGGAGGTGAGCAGCGTGACGTTGGCAGCTTTCCTCCGTCCTGCCGGCAGGTTGAGGCCCAAACGGTCGAGTTTCTCACGAAGACACCGGCCGCCGTTCTTGGACTTTGCTCTGCCAAAACAAAGTCGTACGTTTAGCTGCAGAAGGAGATGATATTTTGGGTGATGTTTTAAAGAGCTTCAGTGATGGAACTGACTTAACTTGACAAAGGCAAAGTGAGGATGAAAACATTTAATTCATTGCATAAAACGAGGTTTTGCTTTGCGCTTCGTTATCCTGAAGGCAACAATTATTCAGTTTTAGTGTGAAAGTTGTAGCAGCACATTTCCCTCGCATATCGTTTTTCAGATGTATTTAGGAATGTGAAACTCAATGAGTAAAGAAATGTTACATTTAGTGACATTTTTTGATAAAACCAAAGTGGCTCTCTGCAGAGGGCGGCATGACGTAAGGGGCGCCAAAAAATATAAAATACATCAGCAGATAATCAGTTTTTATTCAAAAAAGCTTCCTGATCTGCTCTCTGAAGTATTATAACCTCCGACGATGCTGAAGCTATTTTCTGATTTACTTTTTACACCTTTATCAAAATTAAAGGATTTATAAGTAACTTTTTTATGATTTTTTTTTTCAGAGCTATTTGCTTTTGTCTTGTTCAAAATCTTAAATATTCAGACTGTTTAGACATCAAACGGTCAATTCTGCACTGCACCGAGATTCTGTGAAACAAATTTTGAGATTTAACCGCTTATTCTTTGAGGAATAGGGCTGAAACGATTAATCTGATTAATCGATTATTGAAATAATCATCACCTTACTCGGTAATCAATTAATCGTTAACTGTGTGGGTGTAGAGCTCAAAAACAGGCTGTTTTCTGAAGAAACAACATAATCAGAGCAGTAATTAAACCAAAACTACACAAAATATACACACTGTACATTTTGCATTATATTAGAAAAACATTTGTCTGTAAATCTTACCAAGTATTTCTGGTCGAGTTTCTAATGCAAATATCTTGTTACACTTGAAATAAGACAAATTAACTCAAAAGTAACTTTTTAGCAGGATGTGGGAGCTTGTTTTAAGTAAATAATTCCTTAATATTGATGAAAAAGTTCTGGTTCCACTGGCAGATAATTTAACTTATAAGATCATAAATGATATAAGTTAAATAATCTGCCAATAGAACTAGAGGTTTTTAATCAATATAAGGGATTATTTACTTAAAACAAGATATCTGCGCTAGAAACTAGACCAAAATTACTTGGTAAGATTTTGTGTTTTTGCAGTGCGTTCTGTGCAAAACTCCTCAAATAAAGCTAAAAATAAATAAAATAATAAAAATCTCTTATTAAGCACCTTTTGTTGTCCGTTTATTATTCAGTTAATCCAAAATTAGTCAATTTATTGATAAATCCAGCAGAAAAGGCTGAACTTTCACATGTTTGAAGAGTTTTTTAGCTGCAGATGCAAACTTTGCTACAAATAATCAAGCGTCGCCTAAAGACATTTTATCTTAAATGTTTTTGTTTATCTTCATCTTTTAATGTATTTCTTACAAACAGGACTGGAACAAAACTAAGAGCCGCATTAAAAACCTCCAGGTTTTTGCTCCAAATACTGATTTCTGAGTTAAATCATTAGTTTTGTTGTTTCTAAATTAATATAAACTTGTTTTCTTTGCATCTTTTTTCATATGTTGACCATTTCTCATTTTCTGCTAATAAAAATCTTTGCTTGTAATTTCAGAGACATGCTGTCAGAAGCTCATGGAATAAAAGAACAATGTTTATTTTACTCAAACATAAACCTATAAAGAGTAAAATCAGAGAATCTGATCATTTTAAGTTGTCTCTTAATTTTTCCTAGAGCTGTATAAATATATATTTAGACAGAAAAATGCAGATATTTTAGTACAAATTATCCAAATTTAGTTTGTTTTATGGTATCTCTCATATATATTTGTATATTTATTCTAGATTTCACTGATCATCTGAAGGGGTCTCTTAATTTTTCCAGAGCTGCATATATATATATAAAAAAGAAAATCTGCAGAATTTTTCTATCCAGTTAGCTGATTAATCGTCAGAATAATTGATGGATTATTAGTTGAGCTTTTTGGCATTAATAAAACCTTAAACTAGTGAGTTGTGACGGTTGGATTGGAGGAGTTCCTCCACTCCTGCACAGTTAACACGTAGCACCAATATTTGGAGCATAATCAATATTAATCCACATAAAGACGAGCCTCTCGGTTTGTGCTGGTGTTTTTTCCCTCTGCCTTTGTTGATGCCTCGTCTGGTAGCCATATTCTCTCCCTCCTCTCTTCTCCTTTTCTCTCCAGCTCATCAATAATACAGCGCTGGCAACTCCTGCCTTCCTCTGCTGCCTGTGATCCTGGCGTGCTTTGGCCTGGTCTCGCCTCCCTCTGGCTCCCTGGGCATGGCGGCGCGTGCAGCCCCGGCCTTCTTGTGGGCGCAGAAATATATCCTCCGTTTTATCTGAGGGCTACAAAGACTCTCCGAAGCTCAGCAGCCAGATTTAGGCCTGAAAATCGAGAGCTTCTGCTACCCAAAAATCCCTCTCCACCAAAAAGAAATGTCCTCGCTCGTCCACTGCTGCGCGATGTGGGAGGATTTAAACGGTTAAATTAAGACATTTTGCGCATTCAGGTTGTGTTTTTGCACCGACCTGCGCAGGATGCCGCCCAGCAGGGAGGCGTTGAGGCACTCTGGAGGGGAAAGTCGTCTCTTCACCTCGGCGATGGTGACTTTGTACTTGGAGGTGGAGCTGAGCAGCGACAGGCGACCCGGTACGGAGCAGAACAGGTCTGTGGGATTCACCACGCACGTCCCGCCTGCAAACATGCAGAGGTCAGAGGTCAGAGGGACAAAAACAGCAACGTTTGGGAATAAATGTGATTAGTGCAGGATTATCAGGGAGAGCCAGATAAGAACTTAAACATATATAAAATTATGAGAATAAAGTCATAAGTTTCTGACTTTATTCTTGTATTATTTCGACTTTATTCTCAATATTTTCACATTAGTCTCGTAATATTATGACTTTATTTTCATTATTTCAACTTTATTCTCTTAATATTTTGACTTTTGTCTTATTATATGATTTTAATCTTGTATTATTTAGATTTTATTCTCATATTACTTCATTTTCTTCATAGTATGGCCCTAATACTAACCGATTAGGACAGATTATAGTCTTTGACATTTCAATGTTTATCAACATGTTAACTTAACTGATAGTTTTTAATCGCTGAGATGTTTGAATTTTGTCCAGAAAAGTGAAATATGTAATTCAAAAGCAGAATTAAGGCCAGTAGATCTGTTAAACTTATGTGCAACTTATTTTTTTTATGAAAGTATTAAACCCCTGCAGCTTTAACACAACCTCATCAGCCTGCTTTGTTTTCCCAGGGACAGAATAAAATGTACCTAATATATCTGGTGTGTTTTAAAGGATCTGAAGAGCTACGGGAGCCCACAAGGACATTTTAATATTAAAAGAAATCTGGATGTTCCTTCTGCTCCGTTTGCATTCAGGAAACTCATTTCTGGTCATAAACTGACATATTATTCCTTTAAAATAAAGAAGAATACTTAGCAAGAGGCTTGTTTGAGGGTAAATGTATATTTGTTTAAAAGAAACGTGTAAATTTGTTGTTTCGTTGAGATGATCCTCATGTTCATCTGTGTGAAATCTGGTTTAATCCTGAAGGCAAAGCAAAGAAAAGAAATGTGCAGATGTGACAGGATCAATGAGAAAATCTTTTATCTCGTTTCTCGCTCAGGTTTCATTTCCAATGATTTATAAAGAGTCAGACGAGTGGAAAGTTGGCGTGTGAGAAGAAAACTTTTGCATTTCAACATTAACCCTAAAGCCAGAACATCCAGTCAGGTCTGCATGTTTCAAATCGACTCTTTCCAGCCTGAACCCATTGTTCCCCGAAAATTTAAATCGTAAAAAAAACAAACTCATTTCTAAAGCGCTGAAGCAAAACTTTTATCTATCAGATCATTTCTGACCAATCATCTCAGGAAAATCCTCACAGGAACGAAGACAAACCTCAAACAGACATTTAAATATAACATCATCTGCATGTATTCGTGTTCCAGGTTCGGCTCAGTATTAAAGTTTATGTAAGAGTTTTTCTTCCAGGAGGGGAAAAACAAAAGCGAAGCCTTCAAGATGCAGAAAGCGGCTTCGCATTATTAATCACACCTGCATCAGCGCTACCGGTCCTGACCGAGATGCATTTATGTACAGATGTAAAATATGTATTGACTTCTCTGGGTGTGTGTTTTCATTATTAGGCTTTCACTGGAGCGAACAGCCTAAGTGGCTGAAATGCAAGGTTTCTGTCGATCCTCTGTGGGCTATGTTCTATTATTTATCCGCCTCGTTATCAGATCTAACAGCAGGGTGTGTCGCTTTGTTATTAGCCGCGTTGGAAGTGATGAAGTGAAATAAAAAGACGCCTTTTAGGCTGATAGAGCGGCACTGCAGGCGAAGATCGGACGATCCTTTCTGGAGGTAATTTGACCACCAACAAGGTTTTTATTTCATGACAACTCACTGTGGAAGCATCAGTACATCTACTGTTGCTTGGAAAACCAGATTTTAGATACTTTTGTGTCTTTTAGGTAAATCTAATGCAGTTTTAAAAGGAAAATATTTATCCTAATATGAAATATAATAATGAAGCAGATCCACAAGCTTTACAAAATCAGGGTTTTTTTGTTAATTAAAGGGCCGGTATTATGTGTTTATACCAAAATCAAGTAACTTTGTCAACTTCAGAACAGAATTAAATCATCTGAATTACTTCTTGCTTTTAAAATAAGCTCAGCTCCTTGGCATCAATGCAAACTTGCATTCATGACACAAAAACAAAAATAAAAAAGTAAAAACTTTCCATGCACATTTTATTTAAATTTTAATTATTTTGCACTAATCTAATTGTAACTTAAAAGCTAACAAATGAGGCAGTGCAACTCCTGCTGAACATCTGTAGCAATATGTGATTGTAGAGAAATGTTTATTTTGTTTATGAAGAATAATTTATATAGTTTGTCTAAATGTAGGAAGACGGGCGAGTTGGGAACTCGACCAATGAGGCACAATTTCAAAGCACTAAATTACCAAATAAATTTACTTTTAACTCATGTTTGATATATAATATTTTTAACAACTGCAAACCTCTCAATCTCCTTGTTTTCTACATCTAATTTCACTGCAAAGCAATCAGATAAAATATGTTGAATTCGAGACGAAGACGACATAAAACAGGAAAAACCTTAAAAAATAAGAGATTTGAATCATGTAGACTTGAACATTTGGTTTGTTTTTATATTTTAATGATATTTATGCACTGAGTTTTGAACTTTACAAAGTGTTGATTCAGTGTAAGCAAAAAACTAATTTGTTTTTTGTAGTTAAAATAAAACAAAATGTAAGTGAATTGTAAGCATGACGGTGATTAATGTGTGTTTTTTCTCCTGGAATGAAACTTTATACATAAATTTAAAAGGCATTTTCAGAATATTCTCTTTTTACACTTCAGTCTCGATAAAATGTTTTTCCCTCTCGCTTCTTAAAACGTTTGCGCTGCCTTTAGTAGTAAAGTGTTGACTTTTTAGTTATTTTCTGAATCCAGCCTGATCTTACATGAATTCATCAGTTATAAATTTCTTTTCAGATTCTGTCCCACATCACCTGAAACTTCCTGCCTCAAATAATAACCTCTCATTTTCCAGAAGATGAGAATTTTAAGAGGAAAATTGAATATTTTCTAAAAACTGAAGTGATTTTCTGTTTTGACCCAAAGTTTTATATCGTCATTAAAAAAGTTGTAACCTTAAACAAAGTTATTCCTCTTTTCTCTGGATTAAAGCAATCAACTATAAAGCTGATCATCAATGAAGTAATCAGATGTATTGGCTAAAGGTAGAGAACTAGATAAGATCATTTCGGTAAAAACTTTCCTCTTGGAGCTGCAGGATTAGCATTAAGCTGCAATTTATTGTAGTAGGAAATTTGAATAAACGTATATGAGCTTTTATGTTTGTTGACTTTTATGTTATGAGTTTTTTTTAGCTTAGCTATAGAAATGTGCATGCTAGTAAATCTGACCTGACGCTGCTCAGCAGCCAGACCCGCCACACTTTGAATTACCAAAACAAAACGTACGAAAGTCTTAAAAGTAACCATCCTCTACATATTAGATACTGAAGTTTGATACTTTTGAAGCTTTAATTGGCGTCATATATTATTATTGTTATTATTATTATTATTATTATTATTATTATTATTATTAATGCTGCACTGATGCTGTTAGTGGGTTGAAATTATCCTCAGATCTGTTGGCGTCCAAATGAAATAAAGGGAAATTTGAATTAAGACGATTAATCGTGTTTTTATTTGTATCTTATATGCATTTTGTTTACCTGCCTTGGGAGAACAGATAGAAATTAATTAGCCGGGGGCCAAATCTTTTTAAACCGTTCTTGTGGATGACAAATAAATAAACATAAACTAAACTAAACAAGCTGTACCCTGTTTTTTTTCTTCTTCCTCCTCCACTGACAATCTTTTATTCATAGTCAGCAGAAATGTTGTGGCTTTTCCTCATTTTCTGGCTACAGGAAGACTGTTATATAAATAAAGAAGAGGTGTCATCCAGCTGCTTTGCAGCTTTCATACCTGGAACACCTCGCTGCTGTGGAAACAAAGGCCGGCTGGACTCCAGCTGCACCATTTGTACCAGCATCCACTTCCACTCAGCCTGTCAAACATGGACGACTGGAGGCTCAAGGAATCGATAGATAAGGCTGCTGTTCGTTAAGCTGGCGAGTGCGCGGCCCCGTGTCTGGGCACGATGTGACACGAACCCGCGCTCACCTGTCCGTCAGGCTCACGCGCTCTGACAGGGGGGCGCGCGTCTCTGAAAGCCGCGCGGTTCACATCATATTAATTCCCCTAAAAATGTTTTGATTCAAAGTAGTTTGTATTTTATGTTGCCAAGGGCGATCGAAAAGAGCTATTGCCGGTAGTGCAGTCAGTGGAGCGCGCGGGCCCAGAGGCGATAACGGTATTTAAGCAACGGAGAGTAGCCTCGGGCTGCGGCGCGAGCGGCGGGCGGGATCACACGCGGAATCAAGCGCCTTTTACGAGTTTGCCACGAAAATTAAAGAAAAAGAGACGAGGGCCAAATGCCATTCTCCTCATATTTTAACAACAATGTTTATAGCTGCAAAAAGAGAAAGGGGGGAGAAAAAAAGAAGAGCGGATGTGCGTGCGTGCGTGCGCGGGGAAACGTAGCGGGGGCGCGCGTCAGACAGATCAGCTTGATCTTTCCGGGCTGCTGTTAGGCTGAAGAAGTGGGAAAAGGGAAAGCAGCGTGATTAAAAACACAGACGACTCCTCCTAAGTAGGATCCGCATTTCTTGAGTGATTTTCTTTTGAAAAAGGTTATGTGAATATTCATGCCGCCAAAGCCGCAGTCAGAAAGAACAACATTAATATGATCTCGGCTGAATCCGGGGGCCCCGCTCGGCATTAGCATATCAAAGCGTGCGCCCGAGGCGAGAGAAGCTATCGATACGGGAGCGGGAGGTAAAGCAAAGATTATTGGTTGTGATGGTTGCAGCGGCTGAGCTCAGGGCCAAATACGGCGCACCATTAACCGAAAGTGATGGCGGAGGGATTCCCGCGTCAATCCGAGAGAAAAGCCCCAACACCTAGGCAGGGCAGGGCTGATGAAAAATTAAACCCAAAAGACACCAGCCTTCCTTTCTGCCTCTGTGTGGAAAATTACACACAGTCACCATGCAGGAAAAGAAACACAAGCGAGCTTTGATGGAGCAAAAAGAAGATCCGCAGCGTGTTTTAAGCCCCACTCGTGAGGAAACAGGACGGCCTGCTACGTGTTTATTCAGGCTCAAACAACACGCGCACAGGTAGATTCAGACACCATCCTCCAAACCCACAGGCTAAATCTGCGCTCTGCAGTCCAGTCTGATACATAATAATATCTAAAGTAAACACAGTATATTTAGGAAGCAATAGGAATCAAATGTAGACCCAATTGTATAAATTTTAAATAAATTTAATTGATAAATGCTAGCTTACTGCAATGGTGAGCTACTAAAGTGATTGAAAATTAAAGATAAAAGACTTGAACAGATTAGAAATTGTATTTTTATTATTTATTATAATAACTGACTGACTTTTTTTATGGCTCATTGCCCAAGGTGCCATTTTATAAGGGGCAGCACAAACAAGTTTTTTATTGCTTATTTGTTTAACTCAATAAGGCATCTCCAGCTCCAGTGAGTAGTGTAAATACAAATTTGATCAAAATCTACATATCGATAACAGCAAAGCTGGGTTATTCTATGTTAAATTAAAGCCCCACTACACTAATTTGTAAGAAATCTTAGCAATGTTTAATCACTTTTTGTTTTTAAATTCAACAAAATGGAACTAAATATTCCATTTGTAAAGCAACTTTTATTTATTCTATTGAATGTGACTGAAAAATTCTCCTTGCTTTTAAGGAGCTAGCATAGTCAGCTAGCTACTCTACAATCCTTTCTTACAACAAAAACATCGGCTGCAAACATATCGTATTATATCATATGTTGATCATTTATTAGTATTTTATTTCCTGTAAAGTCTGTAAAATTTGAGTGACAACGGAAGTAAAACTCCTTGATTGTGCTCACAGCTAACAACGCAGCTAATAATGCTAATTCGGATTAGCATAAACGGTAAACAAAACAGGTAGCCTAGCATTGCCTTTTGATGTGTCATTTAGCATTATTATTATTATTACTACTACTACGCATTAGTTCGTGACTTTGTTGACATTTTAATTGTCTGGGAGAGTTTAGTGAGTCTGCACGAAAAAAAAAACCCGTAGGTGTTGAGTGACAGTTCGTTTCACGGTGGAAGTGGGGAGCAGTGCGGGTGTGTGTGCGTGTAGTGTTTAAACAGGCGAGAAAAGCGGGGCCGTTCCTGCTGTAACATGTTGACAGCAGACAAGAGAGGAGTGTTCCGCCTGTTTGTCTATCTGCTCGCTGTCTTGTCTTGTGTCGAGCCGTGACTGTTTTCCACGGCCTCCGGTGCAACAACACAGAGAGGAAATAAACGGGGGGTCCTTACCTCTCCGGATGACGCCCCCTTGGCCGTTCAGTACGAGCCCACACTGCGCCTCCACGGAGCCCTGCAGAGACAAGCGCTCATTAGTTTGGCAGACTGTAAAAACACGCCTGCTGCTGCAAAAGCCTGTAATATGTTTGTTGTTTTTGCGCGCAGGTGCGCAAAACATTCAGCTGTGAACTGAAAATCCGCCATGTGAGGAAAGTATTTCATGTGAATATTTGTTTTAATGGATGAGTTTCCCAACTTTGCAAGTGAAAATAAAACAAAAAATGAATCGAGAGATTCTAGAAGTGAATTTTTTTTACACATTTGAGCTTTTTAATGACTATTTAAGAGTTTACAAATCCTTGCTTTTAATTTGTTTGGATAAAAATTATCCAAAATGTGACTTTTTTGCTCGTCCGTGACTTTTGTTGTTGTTGTTTTTTTACAATATCACCACCAAAGGGGGAAAAGGTAATTCCTACCAGTTTTATGTGCAAAATATTTTTTTATAAATATCAACAAAGAGGAATAAAGATGAATATTTTATCCAATTATTTCACTCAAAACCCAGCCATTATCTCCCTTTATCCCAGAAAGAATAGAAAAAACTGAGTTAAAATGTGACATTAATCCACATTGTGTCAACTGAAAGATCACACATTTTAGTCAAAAATCAAGAGGTGAGAAATATTGTAAAAGTAAGGATTTTGCTGAAACTGTCAAATCAGGCGACTTTTGAAAACATAAAAACAAATAGAGTGTTGTCACCTTCCTAAAATATTGTCACTTTTGGTTTAAAGAAAAGTCACTTCTATAAAGGTGAAAATATTGTTTTGGAGAGAGAAAACACACAAAGTCGTATTAATATTCTTGTTTAAATAAAAAAACAGACCCAAATGTTTACATTCTGTCAGAACAAAATGTCTAATGAAACTCAAGACATTCTGTTATGATCTTTAATTTTAGTATTTTTAACGACGCCCAACCCCCTCCAACCTCTGTCCAAAACTTTCTGGAGGCGCCCTGTCCTCCATCAATTCAACTTCATAAATATAAAGCTCTGGAAAAGATTAAGATTAACCTCCTGGGTTAAAACATTGGTGTTGTTGTTTCTAAATGAAGATGAACTTGTTTTCTTTGCATTATTTGAGCTCTGAAAGCACTGCATCTTTTTTTATTTTTATTTTGACAGTTTCTCATTTCCTGCTAATAAATACTAAATTTCTGCTTGAAATTTCAGAGACATGTTGTCAGTAGTTCATAGAATAAAAGAACAATGTTTGTTTTACTCAAACAGAAACCTATAAAAAGTAAAATCAGAGAAACTGATAATTCAAAGACAATTTTAGGTTTTATATACACACACACACACACACACACACAAATATATATATATATATATATATACATATATATATATATATATATATATATATATATATATATATATATATATATATATATATAT